CTGGTAGCACCTACATTATAGGAGCATAGAAACTGCCAACCCAAATAAGGCTTTTGGTTATTCATACAGTCTCAAGGATAATATCAGGCCAAAAATTAAAAAATGAAGGTCATTTATATAAAAAATCTTGGCCATAAATCAGACAATCAGCCCTATTTTCTATTTTCATACAGTACTTTGCACATGGCCTGAGGAATTCTGATTTGCAAGTAAGAAAGACCACTAATATATCTTATGTTAAAGGGCTGATATGCACTTGTTTGGTGCCTCATGTAGGAATGCAGAATATATCCAAAAAATATTTCCACTCTAAGGTGCTGCAGTTAATAAGAAAGATAAAAGAATCACTTCTTACTATTACAGACCGGTTTATGAAGAATCAAGTGGTAACTACTGAAACAAGCCACTAAATCTCTTTTATTCCTACACGGTAGGAACAGAATTTCAATAGATAAGAATTTAAAATAAAGCTTTTATCTCCCTTTATGCAATTTCCTCCAGTTATGCACGCAGAGATTCCTACATTTTCTATCCAACTGCTGTATTTGTGTTGATACGGAGGACTCTGAAAGAAACATGTCCTCTATTGGACTCTGGGAAAAACTTGATCACTTCACTCTTCTGTCTTAAACCTTGTCATTTGTTCACCATTGCCTTCAGCTGTTTCAAAACTTGGTACTAAATTTTTCTCTTCTTCTTGCCATTCCCTACTTCAAACTCCATGCTCTAGCTGTATTAAATTACTTTCAGTTTCCCAAAAGTGGTCTGATTTCTGCTCTTCCTAGATAACCTCTCTAGCTCGGGAGCGGGGTTATATCCCAAAGCCGCCACCAGGTACGCCTCTAGCCCTCAACATGCCATTATCCCACCTAGCTCCAGGGGGCGAGCGTTAGCCTTTCCGTCCGCCCAGGCTCGCTAGGCTTGACTCGCTGCCGCGAAGCGACACACGTCCTTACGGAAGTGACGCAAGTTCCGAGTCCAGCGGGGGCGGTGGGAGCGATGAGGGAACTGAGACTGTGGTAGCAGTTGTGTGAAGATGGAGGTAGGAATGTGAGCGCTAAGAAGGCTGGCGAGAAAACGCTGCCGACGGGGTTGAAGCAGAGGCGAGAAGCCTGGCAGAGAGGCGTCTGGTGGGGGAGGAGGGAGACAGCCGGGTTTGGGGTGTGTTGTCAGAAGGTTGGGGTCAGAATCCGTCGCTTCAAGCTAACCCCCTGCTCCCCCTAACTTATCCCCGCGGCTTTCTTTTGGTTTCCAGTTTCCCGGAGGAAATGACAATTACCTGACGATCACAGGGCCCTCTCACCCCTTCCTGTCAGGGGCCGAGGTGAGCAGAGCTGCTGACGCTGCGGGAGGAGGGTGGTGGGGAGGAGAGCGCGGACGCCTGGGACCGGGGCTGGGAACCATGGGCCGCGAATGGTGTTTAGAGAAAGGTGGCAGCTGGTTTGAGGACTGTCTAGGGTGGGTCCAGGGTACTGGTGTCATCAGAAAAAGCAGGACGTTGGAAAGAGGTAATCTATTTAAGTTGTTGTTGTTGTTGTTTGCCGTCGAGTCGGCCCCGACTCATAGCGACCCCTCCTTGGGTTTCCGTGGCAGTATCACTACGGAAGTAGGATAGGTACTGGGGACACAATAAAGAACAAGATCAAGTCCTTGCCCCCATGGAGCTTTCGTGCCAGAGGGAAAGATAGACTACAATCAACAAGCAAAACAATAAATAGACAAGATTATATACTGTGATTGGTGCCACAAGGACAAGAAGCAAGAAGTGATTGAGAATAAGGAGCAGAG